GCTATTCTGCAAACGGGAGTCCAGAACCAGGTGTCAGAAAGCCAAGAGTCCGAGGGTCAGAGAGCCGGGAGTCAAGAAGCCAAGGGTCTGAGGGTCAGGAAGCAAAGAGTCACGAAGTTAAGGGTCCGAGGATCGAGAATCAAGAGTCAAGGAGTCAAACGCAGCAAGGCAGGGAATGTGTTGCTGTGGCCAAGAGCCGAAGGGAAAATGCCACCAGGTGTTGTGAGTTACCAATCAGCCTCACCTGTGTGGCTGTGCCTTGCCTCTTCAGAAGAAACTTAGGAAGGCCCCAGTCCTGCAGAGTCCTTTGGTCACAGGGCCTGGCTCCTGCACGCACTCCTGACAAGCTAGCTGGAACGCATCCTTGAACTATGACAATGTTTCCTGCTTGCAGGTATTGAGGATGGAGTGGTGTACACGTTCAAAGTGTCACTGTTTTCAGATTCATTCACATGCTGGCAAGTTGAGGTTGCACAACAGCAGCTGAATGGGAACTCTTGCACAAGAAACCCTCTTAATGAATGTTAGAAGAATGTTGGAATGAAGTGATATGGCTTCAGTAGAAAGGTTATAAGGAATTAAGTACAAATAGATTAATAGAGTATTAATGGAAAAATAAGGTTAAAATGTGTAAAGATAATTATAGGACGGAAAACAGGGGAAGATGGAAAGGAATTGCTGAAATAATTAATAGAAGTGGAATACAAAAAGGGAGGCGTGAGGAGGTCGTGGAAATATGTAAAAGAAAGATAAGATATTGAAATTTCTTTTTCTCCCCCCCTCTTTTTCTTTTTTGATGTGTTTTTAAATTGTTTTGGTTTTGCCTTGTTAGTTTTTAGTGTTATGTAGAGTCGGACACGACTAAACGACTAAACAACAACAAAAAGTGTCTTTGTATTGTAATGTATTGTTTTTTCTTTGTTTTTTTTTTGTAAGTGTTTAAATTGTTGCAAAAGTAATAAATATTATTTAAAAAAAGAAACCCTCTTCCTCCAAAGAGTGTGTGTGTGTGTGTGTGTGTGTGTGTGTGTGAGAGAGAGAGAGAGAGAGAGAGAGAGAGAGAGAGAGAAGGAAAGTGATGGGGGAAACACACTGGAAGGAGAACATTTGCTTTGGTGCAACGCCCTCCATCTTCCCCGCAAATGAGGCAGCGTGCATGCTCACCAAATAGCCCACATTGTTTCGCCTGCTTGGAAATGAGTTAGGACGAATGTTCAGACCACCTGGAAGTGGGTGCATTTGGCTACGGGGCTCGAGGTGCTCTCATTCTGTCCCTGAGTCTTTGGCTCTCACGTTACATTCCGCCGGGAGTTTATTCACGCTGCTCCGCAGAGGGTCCCGTGTGTTGCTTTCCAGATGGAAAATGCAAAGGGTGTTTCGCTGAACCAAGCAAGGCCAGCTTGAAACTGCAACCTTCTTCGAGACAATCAGCATTCATCACCAAGAAGGGTGTCCACTCAAGTGCAGAGCATAGTGGTGGAGACGATAATGAGATGTTGCGTCACAGCAAGATAAATATACATTGGGAGGTGTAGCTTTCCCTCCTTTCCCCTTCAGAAAAAACTACCTGCCAATTTCCCTGAGAGGTTCCTTCAGCAGAGCGGGGGGGGGGCAGGGAACCCTACCTGTCTATTTTTTTCGAAGAGGCATTTCGAGACGGGAAGCATCCTTGTAGTGCAGCCATCAAAGCCTCTGCCTTCTCCGTGGGAACCCTTGAAGGCTAGTTCCATTAATGAGCAGCTGATCTGCCTGCAAACTTTGGACAACAGGACAATTTTTTACAACGGAGACATGCATTGCTAGGAAGTTGATCAGGTAGGGACACAGGAAGCCTGACTTACACACAGGGATGGGTGCCGCTGTCCAGTTCAGTTTCACTCCGTTTCTAAGTTTTCCAACCTTACGAGTTCAGGTCTGCATATTTAAATACAGGTCTGTATATAAAAAACTTTTTATATGCCTGTTGTCTTTGTCCATGGAGTTTTCTTGGCAAGGATACTGGAGTGGCTTGCCGGTTCCTCCTCCAGGTGGATCACGTTTGGTCAAAACTCTCCACTATGACCTGGTCATCTTGTGTGCCCTGCTCGGCGTAGTTCATAGCTTCTCTGAGTTCTTCAAGCCCCTTCGCCACGGCAAGGCAATGATCTTACTTTCTTGGGCTCCATGATCACTGCAGATGGTGACAGCAGCCACGAAATTAAAAGACGCCTGCTTCTTGGGAGAAGGGCAATGACAGGCCTAGACAGCATCTTGAGAAGTAGAGACGTCACCTTGCCAACAAAGGTCCGTATAGTTAAAGCCATGGTTTTCCCAGTAGTGATGTATGGAAGTGAGAGCTGGACCATAAAGAAGGCTGATCGCCGAAGAATTGATGCTTTTGAATTATGGTGCTGGAGAAGACTCTTGAGAGTCCCATGGACTGCAAGAAGATCAAACGCATCCATTCTTAAGGAAATCAGCCCTGAGTGCTCACTGGAAGGACAGATCGTGAAGCTGAGGCTCCAGTACTTTGGCCACCTCATGAGAAGAGAAGACTCCCTGGAGAAGACACTGATGCTGGGTAAGATGGAGGGCACAAGGAGAAGGGGGCGACAGAGGACGAGATGGTTGGATAGTGTTTTCGAGGTTACCAGCATGAGTTTGACCAAACTGCGGGAGGTAGTGGAGGACAGAGGTGCCTGGCGTGCTCTGGTCCATGGGGTCACGAAGAGTCGGACACGACTAAACGACTAAACAACAACAATATAAAAAACATCTGTTTCTTATATATATAGAATCACAGAATTGTAGAGTTGGAAGGGACCCAATGGTCATCTAGTCCAACCCCCTGCAATGCAGGCATCTCACCTAAAGCATTCATGACAGGTGGCCATCCAACTTCTGCTTAAAAGCTTCCAAGGAAGGAGAGGGAGACCGTTCTACTGTCAAACAGTTCTTACCGTCAGAATATCAAAAGTTCAACACAGTGAGTGAACTGGTGTGTATTATTTTTTTATGTTCATGACCCTTAATAAAAACATATGGAATAAGCTTCTTGGGCTTCTGAATGCAGGCAGGAGACTACATGTTTGAAAGCTTCCCCAGTGTAAAAATGCCCTGTCTCTTTGAACAGCTAGCATGTCATGGTGAGAGCTGGGATGAATAAACTCCTTCTCCTTGAACAGCTAGCTTTCTGCAGGCAGGGCCCATGCACAAAAGAGAATTCAAACATGTAAAGTGTGGCTTTTTTATCTCACATAGGTTGATTGGAGTTTACACACTGTAAGAAGGAAGAGCTAGGATCTTTACAGTATGAAATTGTAATTCTGAATGCTTTTTGTGTAAGGACTTCCTGCATGTAGACAACTAGCACATCAGGGAGAAGGCTAAGCTAAGAAGATCCCCCTTCCTAGCCTGATCACTCTCTGTGGGCAGAGATGAAGGACAAAACAGAAATGTGCATCCCTGACGTACATATATATGTATACGTATATATGTTGGCCATCAAGTAGTCATTGAGGCACCCATCTTGAATGCAGAGAGGTTTTGTCAGCTACTTTTGCAGCTTTTTAGATGGGCCTGCAGCCCTGTCATCCTTGCCCCTGAGTTGCTAGCAAATGATTTGGTACATTCTTAATTGCTGCGTGCCTATATAATCATCTTTGGCAATACATTCTCCTTTCCTGAGAAATATCCCATCCTGCAAATCAGTGCTTAATAGCCAGGAAACTCCTATCAATCAAGGTCCTAAGTCTGCATTCTGCAGCACAAAGTGCCTCATTGCATTGCATTTCCAATGATAACTCTCCTGAACATTTTGCTTGTTTCTGCTATTTCGGCCATTTAGGGGAAAGCAACGGGCAGCCCTTCAGAATGGATTTTCCATTTTTATATGCTTGCCTTGGCAAAATCCCATTCCGAACATATATATCTAAACTAGCGATACAGTTGTTGGTACTTTGCCTGTGACACGAGGGCAGTGAGGTGATAAAACTCGAGATCTGCTGCAGTTGTAGACCAGGCTGCATTCTGGTTGAATCAAATCAACCTTACTTGATGGTTGAAGTGGGACTCGAAGGCAGGTGAGGAGGGGCCCACTCTCAATCTGGCCAGGTAGAGCCCAGGAGAGCCCAGACTCCTCCATTTCCTCCCTAGGGCTGGAAGGAGATCAGCAGGGCTTCCTACAAACCATTAGGAGGAGGGATTGCTGAGGAGTGTGCTGGAGCCGTGGCTGCCATTGTAGCAGCAGCAGCGCCGGGGATGCTGCTCTGTGAATCTTGCCACCCAAGGTCATTGCCTCACCATGCCTCTTGGATGGGCCGGCCCTGACTGCATGCCTGCCAAGGCTTCAGGGAATCCTATCCCTCCCATGGTGGGATGCCAAGAAGCAGAAAAACAAGAAAAGTTCTTACCATGTACAGTGGTATGTCAGGTTACAAACACCTCGGGTTACAAACACCTCGGGTTACAAACACCTCGGGTTACAGACTCCGCTAACCTGGAAGTAGTACCTCCGGTTAAGAGGTACTACCCCATCATCCAGCCCGGACACTGAGGTCCAGCTCCGAGGGCTTTCTGGTGTTTCCCTCGCTGTGAGAAGTGAGGTTACAGGGAACCAGGCAGAGGGCCTTCTCGGTAGTGGAGCCTGCCCTGTGGAATACCCTCCCAGAAGATGTCAAGGCAATAAACAATGATTTTACTTTTAAAAGACAACTGAAGGCGGCCCTGTTTAGGGAAGATTTTAATGTCTGACGCTGTATTGTTTTTAATATTCAGTTGGAAGCCGCCCAGAGTGGCTGGGGAAACCCAGCCAGATGGGCGGGGTATAAATAATAAATTATTATTATTGTGTATTATTATTAGCTTTACCTCAGGATGAGAACAGAAATCGTGTGCTGGCGGTGCGGCGGCAGCGGAAGGCCCCATTTGTGGGATATAAAGTTGTCAGTCAAGTCCAACATTCCAAGAGGACTAACTGCCTCTATGTGGCAGGCAGTTTTGTCAGTTGGTCGGTCGGTTGCTGCAAAGAGTGTTAACTAGTAACTGCTTGGATGCAGTCTTCTCATGACTCACTACTATCTAGTATATAGTTTTATCTGTTATGTAACCTAAGCCTGCCTCCAGGAACAACTCTATAAACCTGAATGAATCTGATAGTAAAGTAAAGGTAAAGGTAAAGGTAAAGGTAAAGGGACCCCTGACCATTAAGTCCTGTCACGAACGACTCTTCTTCGCAGGCTGGGGGAGCCGGCGTTTGTCTGCAGACAGCTTCCGGGTCATGTGGCCAGCATGACTAAGCCGCTTCTGGCAAACCAGAGCAGCGCATGGAAACGCCGTTTACCTTCCCGCTGGAGCGGTACCTGTTTATCTACTTGCACTTTGACGTGCTTTCGAAGTGCTAGGTTGGCAGGAGCTAGGACCGAGTAACGGGAGCGCACCCCGTCGCAGGGATTTGAACCACCGACCTTCTGATTGGCAAGCCCTAGGCTCTGTGGTTTAGACCACAGCACCACCCACATCCTATGATAGTAAAGTAATTTATGTTTAAAAGCCAGTGTGTGGTACAGTGGTTAAGAGCGATAGACTCGTAATCTGGTGAACCGGGTTTGCGTCTCCGCTCCTCCACATGCAGCTGCTGGTTGGCCTTGGGCTAGTCACACTTCTTTGAAGTCTCTTAGCCTCACTCACCTCACAGAGTGTTTGTTGTGGGGGAAGAAGGGAAAGGAGATTATTAGAGACTCCTTTGGGTAGTGATAAAGTGGGATATCAAATCCAAACCCCTCTTCTTCTTCCTCTTCTTCTTAAAATGATTCAGATTCATGTGTGTTTTCTTTAAGAAGGACAGAAAGGGATTATCAACCAGGAAGGTATAATTTTATTGATAGGACTCAAACGAGTTAGCAACCCGCTTGTCGCTGCATAAACTCAAACGGGATCGTTTAAACTCTGCTAAATTATATAAACGTTCCCACACCATTAGTTAAAGTGGCACCTCAGGTTGATAATGGTTTCAGGTTAAGAATGGATTGAATTAAGTTCGTAACCAGAGGTACCACTGTAGTTTATTCAATATTGAGAGAGAGAGAGAGAGAGAGAGACGAAGGAATGCGATCTGTCTTAGATAATGGCATTGCTCCTGATAAAGTCCCACCCGCTCAGTCCCTCCTATTTTACCTCACCCCAGTGTCAGCTGATCTGTGGTTTCTGCCTCTGAGTTTTCTGTTCTACTGCTCTCAAGGCACACTTTGTTCTGGGAGAGGTGGGGTCAGGAATGCTTTTAAGAGACACCGAGTCTGTTAGCTGTCTCTCCCCTGGTGCTTCTTCTTCCTCCTACTTTCCCAATATTTCCCAGCTCCTCCCATCTGCAGCCTCTGAACTATGACCTTCTGCAAACCACTGTTCTAAATCTATACTGTCCTCTTCTTGGGAAGGTGCAGGAAGAGGGGGAGTGGTTCCCACCATTCCTCCTCAGTTCATCCCCTGACAATGTCATGCCCTTGGTCCAGAACACAAGGCTAGAACAAAGGGCAGTGAGGAGACCATGGTGGATATGTGATGTTACAGTTAAGACTAGTTTGGAATAATCCAAACTATCAAACTAGAGAAATGAGGACCAGAAGAAAGAACAGGAAAGAGGAGAATGCAGAGATGGAATGAAAAATATGCATAATATATTTTATTTGGACCTCTTTGAGCATTTATTGGGGGCTCAGTTAATGGTTTAAGTTTGCGAGAGCTCCAGCTTTCTTTTAGAACCCACCAACTGCCATACGAACTGTCTGATGCCAGGCCTGGGGATCCAAGGATGAGGCGACCTATGGCCCATCCCAATGTTGTTGGACTCCAACTCCCATCAGTCCCAACAAGCACGGTCAGTGTTCAGGCATCATGGGAGTTGGAGTCCAACAACATCTGGAAGGGACATGAGTTTCCCTGTCCTTGGCTTGAGCTACTGTGCACTTTCTGGGATTACTGCCTTGGATTATGCGGTTGTAAGGGACCTCAAAGATCATGGGATGGGCTGCAGCAGAAGATCCCAGGTTGAATCTCTGGCATCTTCAGGTGGGATTAAGAAGGTCCACCATCTTAACCCTTGGATAGCTGCTGCCAGTCAGGGCAGACAATATGGACCAATGGTTTGGACTTTGTATGTGACAGCTTCCTATGTTCCTATGTTGATCATCTAATCCAATCCCATGCTGATTCAGGAAATCCACTACTGCAGCATCCCTGATTGGTGGCCACCTAGTCTCTGATGGAAAACTTTCCCCTCTGATCACTAGAACTCATTTCTGGCCAGGGGGAGAGATGTACTATGCGCCTTCTTGGACAGACAGCAAGCTCTTCTGAGTCCAGGAACCTGACTGCCCCCTTGGGATGTGAGGGGCTGACACATCCAAGCAGGTTAGTTTAACGGGGCTTGCAGCTGACACAGTAAATAATCCATTCTGTCAGCAGGAATCCATCCTTTCTGCTAAGAACGTTGCAAGCACACAATTTACACAAAACAGATTAGGCGATAGATCAAAGTTTTCCCACAATTTGTGAGAATGTTTTGTGTGTGTGTGTAACACCATTTTATATGCAGGGAGTCTTCCAAAGTTTCAAGCTGAAGTAGCACTTCTTTTTACAATTCAGCAGGGAACTTTGTCAATATCGTTCTCCTCTCCTATTTCTTTCTTTTTTATTAAAAAAAGAAGCAGCTGAAATAATGAACAATTGAGAGCCATGTTATTATTATTATTTTTTACCATGTATAATCTCAACTGCACGATGCCTCACAGATGCTAATGAATTGCTTCTTCCACTAGCTGGTTATAGCAGGAAGGAAGCTCACCTGAGAACACTATATTCAGTTATTCTGCTCAAGATGCGTTCAGGATAGTACTGGCTTTTCTTGTCATTAAATTTAACTGTACTGTTTGTGTTATCTTCATCCATCCCTTTTTATGGAGGCTGTAAAAAAAAAAGTGAGATGCAACATTCTTTGCGGGTAGAAAACTGCCTATTTCTAATTCTGTTTAAAGGATCCAGTGGTGTCAGGTGACACCTGAACAAATAAAACTTAGGAGTAGCAAGAGAGATTTTGTGAAGAAGATGATGCCAGATGTACTGCAGCTCTGGCATTGTGTAAGGTTGGGGAACCTGGGGGCTTCTAAATGGTGATGGACTCCAGTTCCCATCATCCTCAACCACTAAGCATCAAACCTGACTCCAACACCCATCAACTCCAGCTAGAAATATGGATGGCTCAAAAGAGGGTCTGGTTTTCCTAGAGCTAGGGGTCATTCTGTCAAGCCCTCAGATGGTTCAGAAAGATTACTAGAGGTTTCCTGATCTTTTCCAGATGGGCTTGCATCAATGGAGCCAGGCCCATAAGGTCAAATGGCTCACTGCCCCACCTGTGGGAATGTTAAGGATTGTAGGAAAGGATATTGAATAAGTATTATCCTTCCTTTCACTCACACTAGTGAGTGATGTAGCAAAGCAAATTCCCCTCAATATAGCTGGAAGCTAGTTTGCAGGCCTAGACAGCATCTTGAGAAGTAGAGACGTCACCTTGCCAGCAAAGGTCCGTATAGTTAAAGCCATGGTTTTCCCAGTAGTGATGTATGGAAGTGAGAGTTGGACCATAAAGAAGGCTGATCGCCGAAGAATTGATGCTCTTGAATTATGGTGCTGGAGAAGACTCTTGAGAGTCCCATGGACTGCAAGAAGATCAAACACATCCATTCTTAAGGAAATCAGCCCTGAGTGCTCACTGGAAGGACAGATCGTGAAGCTGAGGCTCCAGTACTTTGGCCACCTCATGAGAAGAGAAGACTCCCTGGAGAAGCCACTGATGCTGGGAAAGATGGAGGGCACAAGGAGAAGGGGGCGACAGAGGACGAGATGGTTGGACAGTGTTCTTGAAGTTCCATCATGAGTTTGACCAAACTGTGGGAGGCAGTGGAGACAGGAGTGTCTGGCGTGCTCTGGTCCATGGGGTCACGAAGAGTCGGACACGACTAAACGACTAAACAACAACAAAGTTTGCAGATTACTTTGACTCTCTTCGTTAAGATTATTTCCTTGTGTCCCCTTTAATCCTCCTTAAAAGAGTCTTTGTGAGTAAAGTAACAAAAAGTTTACTCACATTTCAGTTCACGATTTGATCCCTGAAAGGCAGGCTTTACTTAATAGTTACATAAACAAAAGTGTGAGTTGATCTCATTGTCGGAACTCCATGTGGCCAAGCTGATAGGGCCTCATCTTCCTCCGAGCCGAGCCTTTGAAATCACCTCCGACGTGTTTAATGACCTGAGCCTTTGATAAGGCCTCAAGCACATTCTATCCAGCAGGGTTCCCAGCACAGGGAAGAGACGAGAGGTTTGGCTACATTGTAAAGAATTTTATTTCTAAACTACGCAGAACAGAAAAGACATCCGCTCTCTATGAAAGTAGAGAGCAACTGAACAAAGGAACAAAGGAAACAGGAAACCACTAACGTCACACCCCGTCTCCCCTCCTGTGAGACTTCCAAGAGTTTGGACTGTCTCTGGAATGTAAACAGAGTCCTGTGACTCCACGCAGCTGCTCAGTGATAAGAACAGAAACTAACACTCATATGGAGACTGGACTCATGAGCTGCGGGCCGAGAGCCAGCAGACAGCAAAATTACATTGCGAATACAAAATGGCTGCAGGAGAGCAGTGACAAGACAGCAAGAATTAAGACAGAAATCAAGACGAACTGCAACTGAGAAAATGGCTGCGTGACTCAGTTCTTTTGTGGAGTCAGCCAGAGCTATACCCATCGCCCAGGTCACATTCAGGGAGAGGATGCTCCAGACCAGTGGAACAGGAAGTTACACTGACTGTATGTCCCCCTGTCTGTGCCCACTCTAGGGAACCAAGGAATGTTGCATTTGACTGCACCAATGGATTACTTCCCACACCACGCCCTTAACCAGACTGCTGCTCAGCTTCATCCTCCTTAGTCTCAATGTTGCTCTTGTAAAATTCAGCAGGGAGGAGGATGGGGGCAAAGTTAGAATGAGTTGGCTCCGCCTGTCATTGTCTCTGGCTCCCCCTACTGTTGACCTCCCTACTTTCTGCTTTATGAGTTCCAAATGTCACCAGTCATCACTGGCTTGCATAATTTCATTCAAGGGGAACTTTGGAAAGTTTGTCCATCTCTAATTACAAGAAAGCAGTGTTCTTTTTTAAGTTAAGGAAGAAGTTTTAAAAGCTTTAAAACCCAGAAGTGGAACGGCTGACCAATGCCTCCACCCAGAATTTTATGCAAACTGCATAAGGTTTCCTAGGATATATCTCCCCCAAAAGAGTCAGCGCTGTGAATACAAACTTTTATACCATTGAGCCATTTCAAAAATAATTTTAATTGGGACCTGTCACCTTCACAGCTGAAGAGGTGGGGCATTATTTCACATCCTGAATCTTACTGAGAGGCGCCGCTTTTTAAATAAAAAAAGAGGATCTGCCCATTTTTCAGCAGGTCAACAGAAAAAGAGCAAAGAAATTTGTCACCCTTTTGGAAAATCATTTTCCGGAGCGAAACAGAAAATGGCAAGAGCTGTTTCAAAGTAGTTTCTAATGAGCAGGAATGGAGAGACTGTCGGATTTATAGAGGCCTGCAGCATCACCTAAAAAGCTGCGTACCAGCCCTCTGCCACTCTTTCAAGCTAAACAAACCACATTTCCTTTAATTTCGGATAAAGCGGAAGAACCACAATAATCAGAACAGACCCCTTTTGGAGATGGCTCACCGACACCAGGTCTCATAAAACCTCTTTGGGCTCATGAGATTAATGACTCAAACCTGCACATTGCCTTGTTCTGTTTTCCTGTGAAACAGGAGGAACCATACATCTGATTAAATAACTATTTCAGTATGGTACTATTTTATTCTAACGGCACAAATTCAGAGGCTTTGTGAGATTAGCGATAAGGGGCATAGAAACCCGACGTTTGCTTCTGCATCTCTGCTGGTACAAACTTACCTTCAGTCATAATGAAGCCCTGGGTTTCTCTTTATTCTGCAGCACATGATATGTTTATTACAGGCTTCCCTGTTTTTTCATCATGCAGTCTTATCATTATACTGCATAGAGCCTGCCCCGGAGATAATGGCTTCAGAGCTGAGCCTTGCTGTTTCTGTGGCCTGAGCAGATTCCAACTTTAGAGCTTGAAAGAATGGACTCTCCTTTTATTTGTTGCATGGTTACATTTCTATTTACTGCCAAAACTTCCTATACTGTAGTCTTTATGGGTACCCTGGTTGTTTTGTATGTTGTGTGAAAATCTCAACATTTTATATGACTTTTTCTTTTAAACGTAAGCTGCTTGGAGACCTTTAAGGTAACAACTGTCTAATAAGTTTTTTTAATAATAATAATAATAATAATAATAATAATAATAATAATAATCCTACTTTTCCGCCAAGGAGCTCAAGGTGGCCTACATGATTCTCTCCCTCCCTATTGTATCCTCACAGCAAAGATCAAATTCAACAAGTTCACAAACGTTTCACAATGTTCCCCAAAATAAATGTGGAATTGTGTTTTCCTGCACCTCTTTGGCTGTATATGATTGAAAACTCTCATTTTCTTTAACAGAGACATTGCCACTTTTTTAAAAGGACGTTTCTGCCTCTATTCAAGGGCTGAGCTGTGGCATAAAGCCGAATTGTGTGTTAAGGAATTGTAAAATTGAGAATCACAGCAAATACCCACTCTTTAAGAGGATAGCAGCTCTTTCATGAATAATTTGATCTGGAGTAAACTTTTGAATTATAATGGACAGAGGGGCCCAGCTCTCTTCACTTTTGTGAAGTCCCCCTCCCCTCGCAATAGCTATTGTGTTTTTAGAAAGCTATGAGGGATGATTTAACTAAAAATAAAAATGGGGGTGTTAGAAAAGTGGTTAAGCCTGCTATGAACTTGGGTGATCAAAATTATGCCTTTGAAATTGTGGCGAATGGGTAGCCAATATGCAGATGGAACAAGCAAGGAATCAAAGAGGCTATGTAGAATCTACAGTGGTACCTCGGGTTACAGACGCTTCAGGTTACAGACTCCGCTAACCCAGAAATAGTACCTTGTGTTAAGAACTTTGCTTCAGGATGAGAACAGAAATCGTGCAGTGGCGGTGCAGCGGCAGCAGGAGGCCCCATTAGCTAAAGTGGTGTCTCAGGTTAAGAACAGTTTCAGGTTAGGAACGGACCTCCAGCACAAATTAAGTTCTTAACCTGAGGTGCCACTGTAATTGCAACTGCTGGAGCATCCGAAGGACAGCAAAGCGTGTTTGAGGGTCTACAGGGAAACATTCGCACAATTCAATAAGCCTGTTTGAGGGATTCCAGTTGACCAAGGAGAACTGACTTGCAGATAAAGCTGCTTAAAA